GGTGCAGCGGTCACAGCCGTTGCCTTCGGATAGTCCATGTGAAAGCACCGGCTCGTCCTCTTCCAGTACTGCTTCTGCAAGTTCTGACTCTAGCGACAGCAGCAGCAGCAGCAGCAGTGGGACGCAAGAGGACAGGCAAAGCGATCCGGTTGACCATGCTGGTGTTGAGGTACCAGATGAGCTCTCGTATCTTCGCAGGCGCAAGCAAACAGAGAAAGCACGGGCAGCACGGAAAACCAATGCAGCTCTCCGTCGGCAGGAGAAGGAGCTCCATGGATGTGAAGCCGAACCAAGGCACCCGGCTTCCGATTATAAGGTGGAGCTGGAGCGTGATCCGCCCTGTTGCCGACCTGGAAGTTTTTCAGGAGTTCATCGGGCAACTCGTGTTCGTTTATTGTCATCTTGGTACAGCCGTTTTGTTGGGGCCTTGAGAGCATCTTTTGCAAGGGAAGATGTTCAACATTGTCTCAATATCTGTGTCTTGGACGACACGTCGATGAGACTTTCTGAGACCTTCGGCAAGTTGGCTTCTTCGTGGCGCAAGAGCCGCATTATAACAATTCTCAGTATGCTGCAGACGTTAGTGTTGCGTGTCGCTCCAGATACTGAGGGTGAAGCAACGTCCAACCAGCAAGCTGACTGCCAGTACGAATGCTTCGTCGCCCCAACGCCACTGGTCCCGTTGGCGTGTGCCAACACTGCGTCACTCTTGTCCGGCATGACCGGCTGGCTCTTGCTTTCTTTTGCCAAGGTGGGCACATTGGGGGAGCGCCTTCTTCGCTTGGCCGGATTGGGCCCTGACGCGGTCAAGACCCATGCTCCCATGCAGACCTTTTGGCTGTGTTGGGATTCATTGAAAACCAATGTTGCCGTTTTGAAAAGCTTGCGGGTGGCACAGACACAGGTGCAGCAAGATGACGCGGCACGATTCGTTCTGTCTTGCAAATGCCTCATTCACCAGGCTGCACTTGTGCGGAAGACGGTAATCAACAGCTTTCCGGGGCATTTCTCATCCATTGTCCGCCTAGGTCACCTTTACGAGATTCATTCCTTTAGAAGTGATTTTCGCAGGGCGTTGATTGGAGTTGTGGAGGACAGCTTTAGGTTCGTGGAGGTTCCTGAGCTGCCACCTGAGTGCGAAAGATGGCGCAACGAACGGATGCAAGCAGCATCGATGCAGGACAGCGATCCCAGCTACAGCCGGGTGAGGAGGTCACTTCATCAACAGCTGATGACATGGGACAATGGCGATTGCTCGAAAGATGCCATTGTGCATTACTGTACTGGCAATTGTTGTGTTGGAAGTTCTACGGATGAGAGGCGGGAGTATGCAAAATTGCAGGTTTGCAAGATCTTGTACCTGATCTTTGGATTGGGCTATCCGCTACCTTTGTTGTACCGGTGGCTCCATGTTCACCGTGCATTGCAGTTTTGCCGCGAAGGAATCTCGATCCATCGGCTGTTGCCACGTGTCCTTGAAAAGATGAAGAAGCCACACAAACAGACTGCTTCAGAATTGCTTCTTTGTGCCAGGATTGAAGAGGCAGATGTGGCAGACGAAGAACCTGATGAAACCAGGCTCGAGGAAACTCCAGCTGCATTGGCGCAGAAACGGCGACTTTTGACTTCCAACGCTTTTGCAGATCCTTTGTTTCTCCAGCGAACAGTGTTGTTGGAGACACTCACAGCACCTATTGCGGTAACGATGCACTCTTTGCTCAAGCGATCGGGGCAGCTCGCGCAGCTTGCACATCTTCCTCGTGCAGCCGAAGACCGTGACAGGTTGAGACAAGAGAGCCCTGGCTCTGTGTAGTTGTAAATAAATTCGTTGAAGCCGTTTTAACATTTCCCTCTCCCATTTTTCCGAAGGGCCCTTCCATCCCGTAGATTTGAGCCTTGAGTTGGGTGGAGTTAGTTAGAGGTTTCTTTAGAATTCAGATTACGGGTCTCGGTTGAGGGTGTTCGGGTCGATGGTTCAAGGCGTACTGTTCGATTCCAGTAAACAGCCCCTTCCCATTATGTTTATTATGGCTTAGGATTCAGGGTCTAGGCCGCTTTAGGGTTTTAGGATTTCAAATCACGCTGAACCGCGAGGACTTCTCAGCTATTCCTTCACTATGTTTCCAAAGAACTGGGCCGTTCATGGATTCGGGAGCAGTGTCTGGTCTTGGCAAGATTCCATGAACTCAAACTGCCCAGAATGGCCCGGGTTGCTTTTGAAGTCAGTGTCACCGTGCTGACAGAGATTTGGAGACGGTTCGTGTTGCAGCAAGATAGTTTTCCTACCTGCTTGTTGTCTGATTTGCTGCAAGCAGACACTGTTCCAGACTTCTTGGAAAAGTACTTCAAACTGAAAGCTCGTGGCGCTTTGTGCTCACGATGTGTGGATCCCGAGTTTAGCAAACCTTTCTTGGCAGTCATTTCCCAATCGGAACCTGGTGAGGAGCAGAAAGCCAAAGCTTCAAGATTGATGGCTGCTCTCAGAGACATCAGTGTTTGGGCACCAATTTCTTCCGACCTCGTTGAATGTCTTCATGGTGTGAACCAGTGTCGTCTGCATCGATGGCGGGGCCTCAAGCCGACCGACGAAAGTGCTCAGCAATTGACTGCTTGGGCCAGCATAACGACCGTGTATGCCAAGTTCAAAGATGTGGTTTGGGCCCGGCTGGGTGACAAGTTTGCAGGCAAGAGGCTTGCTAGATATGGGCAACCTGGCAGGAATCAATATAGCAATCCAAGCGACCAAAGGTCGCGAGTGCGTCGAATGACTGTGCAAGACTTGCAAGAGTTGGCCAACGAGGCGCCTGGTGCAACAGCTGGAAGCAAAAGAAAACTTTGTGGCTGGAACATGTTCCAAAAGGAAGCTTTTGCTGCTCGTCATTATAGCCCGCAGGAGTGGCAGCAAAAGGCGGTGGAATTGGGGACTGCGTGGCGCAACTTGTCTGCGGAGGACAAGGAGGGCTACGAGGCAGAAGGTAGGCATCAACAACATGCAGTGGACGAGGCCAGATTGCAGCCCTTCCCCTCCAAGCAATCGATAAAGGAAGGGAATAAAGCGGCACCGCAGGGTTTCAGCGCTTTCGATGCTGTGTCTTTGCTGAAAGAGAACTCCAAAACATTGACAAGAGTCTCCATGGACCGGCTCATCACAACTCAGAGAATCTTTCAGGATGCAGATGTGTGGCAAGAGTTCAATGGCGGAATCTCCTGTGCACGAGGTTGTTTGCCACTTGATGCCGTCGACCTGAGCACGACGGACGCTGTGTTGTCGGCCCGATGGAATCATGCTGTGAACGAGCCTCTGACCCATGAAGTGCCCCTTGCTGAAGGTGCCTCTCAGGTGCACCATGTGACATGCCAACGATCTCACGGAGAGTGCCATCAATTGCCGCACCAACGAGTTGCTGCATCACTGCTAGCCGAGATGGTGAAGATGATGCTCAGTGATGGTGATGACGCAGGAGTGAGCCAGGGTTTTGAATTCCATTAGTTCTTCAAGGCCTGGGTGTAGATTTGTCTCTAGTCTAGATATCATATCAGGATTAATTTGATACTTCCGGAGAATATGCTTTTCAGCCTGGCTTGGTCTGAGGGCGAATTTGGGTTTGTTTTTCGGTTCCAGGAACAATGTGATTTGAGATTTCAGGAGACAAGATGCTTCGGCCTGGCGCGATGATACAGTTCATGGAAGACGATTGCAAGGATATTTTCTTTCTCGGTGCACCTGTGCAAAAGCCTCGTCAGCTGATTATGATGCAAGGGTTCGAGAGTTGGGACAATGGTCGGGCTTCCGTCTCCTTGCGATCCCCTGCAAATGCAGAGTATTGCTTTCGAACCTTTCATGAAGTGATTCAGACTGTGCTTTCTGGGAGGGTGTCTGCAATTCAGGAGATTTCTTTTCTTGTACGGACATACACTATGCCAACATCCGAGAGCCTGACAACAGTTTGCACCACACCAGATGAAGACTTGAGAGATATTGCCCGGCATGTGAAGCTTCAGCTACCAGTGAAGACGAAAGCAGTCAAGAAGCAGCTGCCATTTGGATTAGTGCCACCGAAAAAGAATCGGAGGCGAGCTGCGAAAAAACAGAGCGGCCCTGAGCAGCAGAAGAAGCCGCGACAGGAGGTCGATGGTTGTATTCGGAGAGTGCCTTTTTCATTGGGCGTGGGAGCTCAGGTCGTTGCTGCTTCGCTTGCGCAACAATGTCCTGACGATTCTTCCGATTCCGATTCTTCCGATTCTTATGCTGGCCCGTCAAGTTCATCATGTAATGAGAGCCGGTCAGATGCGTGCTTGGTTTCAGAGTCCTCCGGTGCGGAGACGGACTCTAGCTTGAAAGCTGCTGGGGCGGTGGTCTTGAATGAAGAGCGGGAGATCAGAGATGTCGAAGAAGCGATGCCAAGTGCCCCAGCGGAATCGTCCAACCAACCTGCTCCTAGATCAGATCAGAAAACTTTTTGCAACACAAATCTGGGTGTCGTGGACTTGGGCTGGCAGCAATCAAAGCGTCTTGCAACATGCAGGCAGTGCTGTCAGAAGATATCCGTTGGAGACGGCAGAGTGGCTTGGGCGTACAATGTCAAAAAATTCCACGCCTGGTTGCACACAGCGTGCTTGCTGCCTCATCTACGACAACAGCACGAAGACATGCAGCCAGCAGTACAGCAGGCTATCGCTTTTCTTACAGATTGGTTGGCCCAACATGCTGAAGACAGTAAACCGCCTGTGTTTGTAGACCTGCTAAATCAGCTGCAGCAATCTGTGCCGCTGTGATCACAAAGACACAAAAGGCATTGTGTCATGGCCCGGAAAAAAATCTAGGATTGCTGGAGAGCCGGCCTCGCCCACTTGTTTTGATTCGGTCTCGTCCGGAAGCTTCACTATGTCACTATGTAAGACTACTACTACTACTACTACTACTACTACTACTACTACTACTACTACTACTACTACTACTACTACTACTACTACTACTACTACTACTACTACTATGTATGATGTACGGTGACTCATACTGGCATGTCTTTCTTTGGCTGGGCCAGGCACCAATCGACTTCTTCTTTTATGGGAAAGTTGGGGATGTGGTGTACGGCCTGAAGGTCCAGGAGCCTGGATACAAACCGTATCATATCAAAGTGCTCTTCCTGCGGATCATTGCTTGATTTCATTTCAACCAGCACATTACGTGACACATCCTTTGGTTCTGGTGTTGAGCTGTTCTGATGCTCTTTGTAGCCGGGTGAGTGTTGTGTAAGGAGCGATTGCTTTGGATCGCCCACCCACCGGAAACGATGCTACATTTTGGGTGCCAGAGTGGATGTGGCTTCGCAGGAGTCCTTTGAGGCCACTTGAAGGGTTGACTGTTGACTGCCAGCTTGACTCAGCTGACCACATGGCAAAAGTTGTGGTTTGGTCTTCTAAGGCGCTCTGTCGATTCGTGGAGTATGACTGCCCTCTAATCCATGACACGACCACCATTTCGGGTTGTGCCATGTCTGTTGTACCATGCTTGGCCCGTGTTGCGCGTGCTTGCACTGATGAGTTGAATGTGCCGCATCCTGGCATCCTTCTGAGGCTGGTCGTATATGGAAGCTCTTGGACTTCTTGAAGATGGAGGGACCCTTCCAGGCAAATCCCGAGCCACTCAGCTGATAAGGTCTGTCACTGTCAGTCTGTCCAGATTGCTCAAACCTTTGCACCGGCCCACCCCGGCCCACCCCACCCCCTCCCTCCCGCTCCACCCTGCCTAAGGCCGACAAGCTCTACAAACCCTTAACCATAAAACCCTAAACCCCCATAAGCCCAATAAGCTCTACAAACCCTTAACCATAAAATGCCCTTAACCATAAAACCCTAAACCCCACACCCTAAACCCTAAACCCTAAACCACGACTAACGCGCAGTTCCGCAAGCCATCCCAGCTCGTCTCATTTGAGGCCCCGCGGTGAGGAGGGGAACACACCGCCGCATGGATGCATTCGAAGCATGACCCTAAGGGCCTAAGGGTCCATGTACCCACATAGTGACATAGTATATACTTTGGGCCCAATGTACCCATATAGGGAGTAAGTACTTTAAGGCCAATGGCCGCATGGATGCATTCGAAGCACTTGGAGGATCATGGGACTTAGTAAGGGGTCCTTAAAGGGCTCTTTAAAGGGATCTATAGGGTTCCTTAAAGGGATGTATAGGGTTTAGGGTCTACTTGGGAGGATCATGGGACTTAGTAAGAAAGGTTATAAGTACCTGAATTGGGGTTATAAGTAGGTATAAGTAGAAGTACCTTAATTCTAACCTTAGTTACTAAGTCCCATGATCCTTTTAAGCATGACTTCTTTCTGGAGCTCCTCGAAGTCTTTTGGATCTAGGGCCTAATTTGGGTTTAGTTCAGGGGTTAGGGTTTGGGGCGTTCGGGGTTTAGGGGTTAGGGATTACGGATTTGGGGTTTAGGTTTTAGGGTTTAGGTCATAAAGATGTCGCAAGATTCGGCAATCTTATGCTTTTGGTGTTATACATGTTCGGATTCCGTCCAACAAAGCCCAAGCCCGAGTCTAATTGTCTCGGTCGTGGCCTGCGATTTTGCGGGTTTCAGTCCTGGACGTAGCTCTCCAGACATAAGCCCAACGCGCTCACGCCCCGAAAACTATACCGTAGAGTAAGCCCTTGAGATTACCCCGGTCAGCTAGGGTTTCTGGGCTATGGGTGTTACAGGCATAGGGCTAGTTTAGAGGTTAGTTATTTGCCCAACTAGGTTGGTCAACTCATGGCACCGCTAATTAGCAAACAAAGAAAAAGAATGCGACACGTTCATAGTTAGATCGATTATTTTTGCTGGAGTGTTGCTCAGTGCCCATATCAACCTGTTTCTCATCGAATGTTGTAAGGATTTTCTAGAGGTTTTGGTGGGCGAGGTCTTCTTTTGACTATGCTGGGTCCATCATGAGTGGTTTGGTGTTCCGGCTTCCGTTCCGGTTTTAAGGAATTAGGGTACCCTATACCTTAACCCTGAAGAACCTACCTTTTTGAGGACTTAGATAAGGAAATCATAATAAGGAACCCTAGAAAGGTAGGTTTTTCAGGGTTAAGGTAAACCCTAAACCCCGAACGTGGAACCAACTTCGCATGAAGACCCAGGTTGCGTGTCATTGAGATTGAAGCGCCTCAAGGGCATCCTCGGCCGTTGTTGGAGTTGAGGGTCTAGGATACGGTTTAGCGTTCAGGGTTTAGGGTTCAGGGTCTGAGGTCTCTTGCATGCTTTTTTCAGCGCATCAGTCTTTGAACAACAAGGTGTAAGGATTTAAGCAGTTGAGTAGTAGCCGATTCTTCGTTAATGTACTCCACAGCTCAGTTCTAAATATTGCAGCCCCTACATTGGAGGGAGTGCTCGTGAAGTTGTGTAAGTTGGTTCACTGCTGTCTTCCCCGATCTGGAGCGATGTTCGGGATCAATAGACTAATAGAACACAGGTCTGCGAAGTTCAGCACTTACCTATAGTCTCCATTGTAGTTCCTTTTTGCGTTTTAACCGCATATATCATTAGGATCCTAGAAGGTAGCCCCAAAGAGGAACTAAAATGGAGACTACTTAGGGGTTCTTAGAAATGTTGTTTAATATTTGGTTTTCCTAAGAAACAGCTAGAAATTGTAATTTTTGCCAGGGGTCTAAGTTCAGCATACACTATAGGTAATTATAAAGGCTCGCAAGCTGAAGCTCTGGTTGCAGGGTGTCTGGAGTTTCGTCTCCAGTTGACACTGCCGAAGGAGTAGACGTAGAGTTGAGTAGCTCCGAACTCCTGAAACACAAAAAACTGAATGCCCTAAACCCACAGCCCTAAAGTCCCTAAACCCTGAACTGTTGAACCCCCTAAACCCTAAACCCCACCCTAAAACCAGTGCACAGAAGAGCACACGCACACACATCGGTTTCCTGGGTTCAGGCACCTACATGGCCAGTTGTCAAAATTAAGGTCCCTTTGTGCGTATCCTAAATTTTAGGTGCAGTATCATATTAGGGACCCAAACAGGGACCCTAATTTTCACAACCACCCACATGGTGCAGTACAGACTTGATCGTCCAGTTCCTTAACTGGGACCAAATACAGTTTCTGATTTGGGCACTCGAAAGCTTCCCGCAACATTCAATGCTCTGCCCCTAAGAAACTTGACGATGCGTCCCCTGTGCTTGAAATTAATAAACTCAGCAGCTTGAAACCGCCCGAAGAGTGGTGACGTGGTCGGGGCCGCGACTTTTCTCAAGATTTCGGAAGGTCTTCGGGTTTACGAGTCTAGCGAGGTCTCAAAGGCCTCCAAAGACACGCTCTCTACCTAAACCCCCCAAAGTAGGTAAAATGGCCCAATACCGAAAAAGGGCTATTATTCTACATACTTTGGGGGTCCAGGTGCAGATCCACCGTAAAAGGTCCTTAAACTTAGATTTCCAATACCCAGCCTTTAATCTTCTAGTTTAGTGGGAATCGGAAAGTTCTAACCTTTTATTTCTGTGGCTTATTGGGGTAGTACTGTTTGTAAAACCCTAAACCCTAAATCCTAAACACTAAATCCTAAACCCCAAACCCTAAATCCTAAATCCTAAACCCTAAACCTTAAACCCTAAATCCTAAACACTAAATCCTAAACCCTAAACCCCAAACCCTAAATCCTATATCCTAAACTCATGGCCTAGGCCGCCCACCTTCGATGGTGGGCGGCGCTTAAGCCCCTCGACCTCGATGGCGCAGGTCGATCCAGGACGCTCGCCCGCCGTCCCACAGCCAGGGGTACTGTAGCACCCACGTTAGGCCCGGTACCGGGACACGTTCTCCCCGGGACCAGTACTGGTCCCTATTAAAGTCATTACCCTAAACCTGGAATCCTGACACCCGCTGGGCTGGTTTGGCCACCCCCAAAAAGGGACCCCCCGGGGGGGGCTTGGAAGCTCCAGCGAGCAGAGTTCCAGGACCTAGGGGCCTCCTGGCTGGTCCCAGGGGGGACTTGGACAAAAACTGCTCTTTTCTGGACGCCAGCCCTTACCTCCTGCCGTACTCTGCCCTACTCTGCCTTGCCTTTTCGGAGCAGAAGCTTGGCTGCAGAATTGTGTGGTTGTTGTTAACCAACATGGACCTAACAGAGTTTAGGTCCTAAACCCTAAAAGGTATAGGTTTGGGTGGTTTGCCGCCTCAGACGGCGTGGGGTGGGTGAGTTATGTGATGGCCCGCCTGGCTGCGATTCGCAGAACAAAACCGCTAATAAATCCTACAATCCCTGTTACACTACCGCTACGCAATCTTGCAGCAAACCCTAAATCCTAAATCCTAAACCCTAAACCCTAAACCTTAAATCCTCAACCCTAAACCACGAAGAGCGAGCCAGGATGGAGCTGAAGGTGCGGAGGCCTGCAGATGTCCGGCGCCTTCGCAGAAATGACTTCGTGGCCGGAGCCCTAACGAAAAGCGCCTTTGAGACTCGGAGCCGGTTCCTCTTGAAGGCTCTTTATGAGGGTTTAGGGGTTTAGGGTTTAGGGTTATAGGGTTTAGGGATAGCTGGGAAAGGACTTTGGGGTATCTGATCGTATAAGCATAGACAGGGATGTCACTCCGGTTCCTTGTTTACGGTTTAGGCGTCTTGGGTCAAAGTTTCGGGTCGGGTTCAAGTCAATGGTTTCGAGTTGGGCGTTAATATGGGGGGGCCTAAATAATGACCTAGATTATTGTGGGAGTTCCTTAGTGTAACTGTAGTATAATGGGACGAAAACCCTATTCTAATTATTAAGGCCCCTATATGCCTGCTGGCGTCTGGGCAGATCCCTTTGCCGATGTGCGGGACGACACTTCCTCGGAACATGCCAGCACCACCGATCTTGGATCGGATGTCCCACCTACCCAGGACCGTGCCTCTCCACATGGGCCGTCTCCCCCGCCGCCTGTTAACCTCCCGCCGGAGCCTCGCGTCCGCCCGGCGCGTTCGCGTTCTCCAATACGCTCAACCGGGCGCTACGTTAACGCTGCTACCGAGTCGGCCCCCTCTCCCCTACATCCGTCTGCTCAGGTTGCTCACCTACTCAGTGCCGACGCTCCTGGCGATCAGGCGGACACTGAGGCCGCCGCCAGACCCGTGTCAGTCTTACAAGAGGACTCCTCTCATGAGGCAGCACCCCTTGCAAGGTCTTCATTGGAGTGTCACCTGGGCGATCTTGGCATTGCCACGCATCACCGAGCACAACGGCTCTGGACAGAGCCTCCTGCTGCCAACTCAGGGGAAGCAGCCCGCCTTCACAACCTTCGACAGGCCACGCTCCGGCTAGGAGGGACCTGGCCTGGCTTGTCAGCACAGGGCCTGCCGCTCCCTGCTTTAACA